GCACCAGGTTTACCTTGGCCATCCCCTGGGCCTTCTGCCGTCCGTTTCGCAAGAAACAGTTGCTTAGCCTTCTTTTCTACAGGCATTCACAACACGTGCCCAGTCCATCGCAGCTGCGACTTCTCAATCTGGAGAAGCAGACATCGTACACCAAGGCTCTCCGGAATGCCTGTGTTCTGAGCCACGTCGAGACGCGTAAGGCCAGTGACTCGTCTAGGAAAGCCCATTTCAGCAGCTTGTACCCGAGTTCGAAGCTTTTCGATCATCGTCTACGATTCATGACCATAGGTAGGCATGGGGATAAAGATCGAATTGAACACAGAGCTTAATTTTCAGGCTCTGCTTTGCTTTAGTCACAGTGCATCCAGCTAGATCACGAAGAACGCCACTGGCTACTCCAGTTCACCAGTCGATCTCATCCTCAAATTTTCCATCACCAGTAGACACGACTCTGACGAACTTGAACTTCTCTACCTGCTTCACTGCCTCTCCTTTAACCTGAGAGCAGGAGAACGAGAAGGCACTAGGCTTTCGTTTTAGATGCTTTCACGCGCATGCTGGTCTCGTCACACTCGGCTGCGAACCTTTTCAGGGAATACTGTAGATCGGATTCAGAAGATGCCCGTCAAACAAGTTCGTCTGCAAATAGAAACCTTCTCGTCCACACGTCTCCTACACCGATAGAGTCAGCACCTTGCCTGCTCCTGACCATTCTATCCATATACAACCCAAACAGGACAAGGCAGGGCGCAGTCTTGGAGGAGACCAGTGCGAGCGCTGAAATGCTTCGATTTAACGCCATTTACTTTGAGCACCACCTGCTGTCGGAATACAGTGATGGGATGGCCCGTGATGGATGGCCATTTATCCCTTATGCTCGCGGGCATGACTACAGACTGTTGCGCGGGATCGCGTCATAGGTTTTTACTAGGTCTATAAAACACATAGAGACCGGATGGGGGTAATCTCACAATTTCGCAACAGTCTGGCGCAGGGCATATATATTGTCAGAGGTGCTTTGACCTGCCGGAAGCCACACTGCTATTCCTGTATCTTAGAGTCATT